TTTTCTAATTTTTAATTTTATTGTGACAAAGTATATATCTTTGTTAGTTTTAGGTTGAGTTGTCCCTTAATGATTTCCATACTAAAATAATTTAAATCAAGAGTGAGATTCTCTCTATTTCAATTGAAATTGTGTATTAAGTTATTTGTATAAAGTTTATTGAATGATTGTCACATTATTGTATAAAAAATAGTATCTCATTAAATTTTGCGTGAAAATTAATACAAATTATTGTATGATTCAGTCTAACAGTTAGACAGATTGGTTTGTGGTTTTTTTTTTTGGTACAATATTGCATATAAATTTTTGTATGAGTCAGCCTAACAGTTAGGCAAATCGACATTGACACATTGTTGTAAAGTTGAACGAGCAAGATACTCATATAGGATTCTACATTCTAAGTAGTAGTAATAAATAAATCAAGTTATAATTCTTTTTGTACAATTATAGCTTGTAATTTCCGGTAAATAAGGTAATTGGACACAAGTGATACTACGGTCTCGTTACGGAACCATTCCGTCGGGGTTTGTAACCATTAGATCAACTATCCACAATGGTTACATAATGATCTAACGATTACAAATCTCGACGGAATAGTTCCGTAACGGGACTGTATAGCATTTTTCCAAAGTTTTTCTACTTGGATGATATTTGAGTTCAATCATCATATTAGATTATTAATTTTATTCAAGTACTTCAACAAACTCGTTTTTTTCTTTTTTTTTTTAGAACGTAATCATTTTCGACTTTCAATGTGTTAAAAAATGAATGATAAACATAAAAACTGGGTCCCAATTAAAAAAAAAAAAAAAGGAAATTGAGACTTTGAGATATAAACGCAGCCGTGCAAGGATGGGGTAGCTGTTTTTGTATGACATAATCCCAGCTTCTCTTAGCTGGCCATAACTAATTATCTAATTGGGGTTCACAAAATTCTTGGTGGAATATTTCTATTTGACATTTGTTATGTAGTTTGAGAAATAGTAAACTATCAATTTAATAATGGGAAATGCTACATTCCGGTTATGGAACTATTCCGTCGGGATTTATAACCATTAGATCATCATTTAATCGTCGTGCATAGTTGATCTAATTATAAATCCCGACAGAATAGTTCCGTAACAGGACCGTAGAATCTCCCTTTAATAATAGTAAAAATTATTAACTAATTTTGCAAAAAATCATTTAGTTAACGAGCTTGGCTATGCTCGTTAAGAGTTCGACTACTATGAGCTCGAACTCGATTTAATTTGTGTACACTTTTACTTTTTATCACCAAAATAATCCTACTAATACCGTGTTATAAACCACCTAATATCCGTCATTTTAGTTTATATGGAAAATTATATTGTGTTAATCTACTTTGCAAAATGATTTATTAACTAGTTAATCAAATAATGTATAATAATATTACAATGACGAAAATAATGGGTAATTGCGACGTGATTATTTTTCTATAAACTTATCTTAGTCGTTTTACACTTTTAACAAGTAGTTTATCAAATAATGCTCTAAAAAATTTTCATAGTCTATTTTGATAATATTATAGTAAAAATATTAATAGATGACTATCAATTATATTTTCGGTACACTAATTGTAATTCATCTGATCGTGTAGCATAATTCAAACACAATTTACCTCAAATATTTTACGTCCAATTTTTTTTTATTTATTTATCCAATATTTATTGGCATATATGTAAATGAATTGAGCCGAGCTCGAACATTTAATACTCAAACTCGAAAATTGATAAACGAGCTAGAGTTTGTTTCATTAAAACTAATGGGTCAAAATAGGGTTATATGTCAGAAAATTGCATAAAAATATCATATTTTTATAAATGAGTCGAACTCGAATGTTAATAAGTAAAACCAATATCTCGAGCTGCTTAAGAAGATAATATCTTAGTTATATTTTAATTGTATGTCCCCATAACTTAGTTGAAGTTAAAATAAAGTATTATTAAGATATTGTCTCAAATGACACCTAATGTTTCAAATGATTTCAATTTTATTCACATCCTCATTTTCTTCTTATCCCTTCTATATATTAATTCAAAACGTGTTGAGCCTAAATGCCAGACTCGCATGTTTCGGGATTCTATGTGGCAAAACTACATGGTTCGTTATTAGGACTAGTACAATGCCCGTGTATTACACGGGTGCTTGCTAATTTTTTATTAAAATCTAAAATTAATGAGAAAAAGTAATTGGAAATTTCAATACCTTTTATAAATATATATATATATATATATATATATATATATATTATTGTATATTTAGTATGATACTTTTTTTATTTGTGCGACTTATCTGTGTTATATTATATTATTTTTTTGACTTACAACATATAACTACATTAAACATAAATATATCAATTGAGAAATAATTTTATTTTTCTAATGAATTTTAATAAATATTATTATGTTTTATTATTATAAAGATAAATATGATTTATTTATTTCATATATACAATATGGATGTCAAATCGAAGATCATCAAAAGATAATTAATTTGATATATTATATATGTAAAACCGATAAGAAATATAAAGTTATCAACTTTTAAAATACATTTATAATTCAATAGCTAATTGAAGGAAACAAATCAAAAGTCATGGATATATTAGTCACTAAGTGTCTCACTATATAAATTACAAAGAATTAAAGGGTTATATTAGTAAAATTTATATTAAAATACCTAAGTTAGCTAAATAATATTTATGAAATGTCTAAACCTAGATTATTATTTATTAATATATCAATATTATTTGTCCAAACCTAATTACGAAGCATGATTATTTGCCAAGTAGGATTCCGAAGCACCAGAAACAGCCACGTAGGCTCAGTGCATTCGGGAATAATATATAAGGAGGATTGGGTAAATTTTAGTTTACTTCCAATCCAAAAATAATTAAGTTCAAATTATCCATAAATATTTTGATTATTATGGTTATTTTACATGTATTAATTGCATTTTAATATCATTTCTTATTATGACCATTGATTTGTAAATGTATCTTAAAATTAAATTTTAATATTAATTAAAAAATAAAATTATTTATCAATTAATATATTTTATTTTAAGTAGTTATATGATATAAGTTATAAAAATTACTACAATAACACATATGTAAGTCGCAAAAGTAACACGTGTCATTCTAAATTATATAATAATATATACTTTTGTGAAAAAGTAAATAAAATATAAGATAAATTTCTCATTAATTTTAAAATTTTAAGAATAACTTTTTAACAAACAACCGTGTAATACATGGGTGTTTTGTACTAGTTTTATTTATTGACAAGTAGGATTCCACAATATTCTATTCCCAAATCACAAACAAAACTTTTCAATTCCATCCACTCTCGTGCGCACACGTGTCATCCTCCTCCACCATCATTTAGATTAGCACCATCCAATCCAAGAACCTCAAAATATCAACTCTGTTTACACTTCCACCATTATCAAACCAAAAAACTTGAAAATTTTGCCCAATTCAAGGAAAATTGGCCTCAAAATGTCAGTTGCTTTGTTTGAGAGTAGCTTTCTCTCGAACCCAGTAGTTACATCTACTCTCAAACCGCAAGCAAGAACCTTTCCGGTTCCTGTAAAACCCCAATTCATATCTTGCAGGCACAGCCCAGATGAAGTCGATAGTGATTCATCATCATCATCAAGGTAGCACTAATTTAGTCTCGGGTGCAATTTTTGTGATCAATTTGTGCTGTCTTAATGTTTTCTTTTTTTGGGGGAAGTTCTTGATTTTGTGGAGCTGATGAATGGCAGAAAAAATGGAAATCGTTTAGCGAAGGTGGCTTTAGTTGCGGTGGCAGCTGGGGTGTTGGCACTGGGCTCGGTTGATCCAGCAGCCGCCGCCAAGAGTGGCGGCAGAGTTGGCGGCCAGGCTTTCCGGTCATCTGCGCCTCGCTCTTCTGGTCCTAGAATTAACAATTCAAGGTAGTTCCTTTGTGTTTGCTTTCCGTTTTCTGATGTTTGTTGGGTGTGCAAACCCAATCCCACATCGGAAAATTAATGGTTTCCAAGTCAATATATAAGCTTAGTGGGCTACTCCCTCTAAAACCAATTGGCAAGGACGGTGATGCCGAACGTCAGACTCCCGGTGGAGATTTTCGACGGGACCGGTCATTTCGGCATGTGGCAAGGCGAGGTGCTGGATTGTCTATTTCAGCAAGGCG